ATGCGTAAGATATCATGTCGACGGTGTAATTATTATTAAGGTCAGCTATTTCAAACGTGTATATTTTTCGTTTGAAGACCCTACAACAGATTTTCATGAATATGCATCTATAAAATTATTTAATCAACAATATTGGACAATATGGCCTCATTTTGGTATAAGGTAGACTTGATCATGATACAATTTTTAAGAGAGGTTTTATGTAAAACGTTGCGATATTAAAAAATTATCTGAGCGTAATGGCAGCTGGTCGTCGGGTACAGAAGTCATTGTTACAAGTACATTGTGCCTGGATTGTAGCCGAATATGGATGTCAATTCATTGTCTACAGCTATTATGTAAGTAATCCATTTCCTCCAGTTTTCACCGGCCCGATTTGTGCGCAATAAAGGAGTCTTATCTACTTTATAAAAGGAGAAAGGAACATAGGTCACCCATTCGTGTTTATTGAAAAGGAAAGACAAGGGAAAATGATTGCCAGATAGAATTTTTAATATTGATAAGTCGGTTTTCAATTACTTCTCGAAATCATATCTTTTCCATGGCAGATGGAATTGTGGTAGAACAGTGTTGTTTTTGACAAACCAGCAGAGTATAATTAATCAAAGTTAGAGGTTTGAAAATTAATATTAAATGAATCATCTGAATTTCAACAAGTTTGTTGGCTATAAAGATGTTACAGTCCAGTGAAAAATGTTGGCATTTGAAACTAATAACTGTTTCATATGACACTAATTATTAATGGCGAGACAGGAAAGGTTATTTGACTAACGACGTGTTATTACATGTATAATTTATAAGTTGTTAATTTTGAAGATTAAACGTAAGTAATTTGAATAAATATAAAAGATTAAAGCTTTTATCTCGTATTTCAATCCTACGTTACAAAGGAATGGCCTAACGTGAAGTAATTGCGATAAAACCCGTATACTCGAATCGTGTGTACGTGAAGACAGCAGCGGTTCAGTACTCCCACAGAAAAAAGTGCTTCACTATTTTTCTGATTTGTAGAAATTTATGAATTCTTGCGCTGTACCTATATTAGGACTTTATCATATATTTTTTTTAACGGAGGACAATCATTGTATGACTTCTCCCGCCTGGGTGAGGCGGGAGGGAGTGTCAGACTCTTACTGACTAAAAACCACTCCTTTCCTGCACTTCGAGCCGGAGCCCCGGTAACCCATTAAGTTCTCCGCGGCTTTTTACTTCCTCATATTGGAAGTGCGTTTATCTACATAAACAGGTACACATCACACCCATAGATAGAATGTGAATTTCTAGATCAAAGTATCTTGTTGGGAATCTATCTCACGTTGGATACCAGCCGATCGACCAGCATTAGCACCTACGTGTAGTGAGATGTTACTTAATATGACTATATCTATGATAGGGTTTTTTTTAAGGGGAGATAATCATCGAATGACTGCTCCCGCCTAGGGTGTGGCGGGAGGGAGTGTCAGACTCTTACTGACTAAAAATCACCCCGTTCCTACTCCTGCAGTTCGAGCCGGAGCCCCGGTAACCCGTTAGGTTCTCCGCGACTCCGTATCGGCATCAGCCATATTGGGCCCCATCCGTGGTGGTCTGGTGACTCTTTGAGGCGCGCGCGGAACGCGACGCGCCCTACGCTCGGGTCTGGTTCTGGTCGGGCGGCGAGCCACCCATGCTCGCCGTCCGCAGGCCCGCGCTTACGGTGGCCGGAGATCGTCTATAATAGGGTAGATGTCTAATCTTTATTTTAATGTCCGTCTTGTAGATTATTTTAAGTCATAAGACACGTATTTTTAATTTTCTTACAGAAAGGAATACTATCGACGATATATTGATTTGAAATGTCGCGTGACGTCACTGCTATGTACCTACATTTTATACGTAGAAATAACGTTTTAGCCCCCACTCCTAAATTTTGATTCGTTTTATCTAACTTTTGTTTTATTATACGACAAAACCTAACTTACGGACTAATTAGATTTTTCATTTTCATACCCTGTCATCGTCCCAATTATAGAATTCATAGAATTAATATAATTCTTCACTTTATTAACGTTAATTTAATTTAAGTATTCTTAGTACCTATTCAACTGAAGCATTTTGCATGCATAGTTTCACGTTAATAATTAATAATTCATAGATTTAAATTAAACTCTGTTATGTCTAGCAAATTTGGTGTCTTGAGAAATTCGAAGAATCTTTCATTTTAAATTTTTATTTTAATATCTTTTTAACGGCCAATGAGGCCGAGTGGTCGCAAGTGCGACTGCCGGGCAGGGGGTATCAGGTTCGATTCCCGAGTTGGGCAAAGTATTACTGAGTTTTTTTTAATAATTCTCAGTAGTAGCACGGAGTATGGAATTGTGCTCGGTATGTGGCAATTGGCTTACCCCCTACAATACCATACAATACAATATGTACCTCTGCCTACCCCTTCGGGATTATGGGCCTGATGTTATGTTATCTTTTTAAGTCTTAAGGTTTTGTAGATTCCCTTGAACGATCACTAAGAAAATTTTAGAAAGTAAAATGAATTACACAATGAAATAAATATCACAATAAAATCCAGTACAAATAAATATCTATTCACATAATTATGTACATAGGTATAAATCTTTTACATGAACTTGTTTTATGTTCAAATTCTAGCCGCAAAATACTTATACTTCAAAATCGCTTCAAGCAGATACATAATTGTAGTTAGTAAATTGAGTACCTAATTTAGCTTACTGTTCGTAACTTCTTTACCTATTTTAAGCTTCAAAGAAACTAGAGTTATCATAATATTATTTTGCTTAACAAAATTTATTCAATAGGGTAGATGCCTCATTTTATTTTAATGTCCGTCTGGTAGATTATTTTAAATCATTAGACACGTATTTTTTATTATCTTACAGGAACGAATACTTTCGACGATATATTGATTTGAAATCTCGCGTGACGTCACTTCTATGTACATTTTATACGTAGAATGACGTTTAAGCCCCCACTCCTAAACTTTGATTCGTTTTATCTAAGTATTGTGTTATTATACGACAAAAAAAATACGTATCTAATATTTTTTCATTACCTAACTTACGGACTAATTACATTTTTAATTTTCATACCCTGTCGTCATCCCAATTATATGAGAATAAATAAGACATTTTTATTGCACCCTGGGCATATAGTCTTCAAATTTTGTTTATTTAGTATTAATAACATCAGAACATATGATTACACTCATTTCTTCTTCAAAGTTTGTTCAGGGAGGAACATAAACAAAATAAATCCATTTCCCATCACTTTTATTAAACGGGGAATGAGCGTAAACATACGTATATACCTCTATATATCTATATTGTAAACACGTGCATACCGTGCATGAACCAATTTTTTCGTATCAGATATCCGATACAGTATTATTGCCCCCATTTATTTTCTGTAAAGGCGTCTCGTAGGTATCGCTAAAAGGATACGTGTCACGTTTATTTGATTCAACCTGTTGTTTGGTTTTTGAACCAGAACAGTAAAAAGAAAAATTAACACTGGCAAATTGATTAAGACAGAGAGTATCGAACCTATATCACATTCTTTGGCAAAAAGGCGATCAGAGAATTGTTTGTTATATGAATTTTTAGTTGTCTAACATTTCGTCTTGTCTGTCCGGTGAACAAGGGGAAACGTATAGTTCAAACGTTTAACTTTCATTGGCGGTGCCAGGCGCACATAAATTAAACAACTTATAAGTAGTATAACACAGTGTCACATGTCACCAACTCGTACCGTGGGCCCGGGTGGATATAACGGCCTTCCTCCACAAAGGCCTGAGTCCCAGCTGTGGGAACATTATGGCCTGATTATTCTGTCGGAATATATTTGTTACGAAATTATGCCCATTCTGTACATGATGCGGAAATTATACTTGTAATCGAATTGGTCGTATTTTATCACCTGAGGAAGCTGAGGTATTTATGTATTGACTTTTTAATTAGTTTTTGAAAACCAACTGTAAAATGGATACCCATTGTACAGATATAGGTAGCATGTTGTAATGTTCAGTAATAGGTTGAGTAAAAGGTGTAATGCTATGAGTTATGTATGAAATATAGTTAGGAAAAATTATGGCATTTTGATGTTAGGTAGACTGGTAGATATTCCAAAATGTAGTTGAGTAATTGTATCGAGTCATTCAAAATGAATACAGTAATCAATTATCATAAAAACTTGTCAGAAGTTGTAAGCACTATTTGTATCGAGGCCAAAATTATGATACAAACTGAGATTAAAACAATATTAGACTCTGGAAACGGTTTGACACGTTACCTTTCATGTTTACATCCTGGCTGACTGCCAGGGTTGCTTGACCTTTCCGCAAGTTGATTGATTCTCATTAGTATGTATACGAGCAGTAGTTGTCCATTTTATGATGATTTGCTTGCACAAACCTAAGAGCAGCCCTTCGACCCTCCGATAAAACTGATTTGTTTTGTGAATAATCCAACCATCCAATTCAGTCGCAGGGAATTTTGCAAGCAGATGTTTTATGATACTCCGCGGAAAAGCTATTGGCATGGAATCGTTGGCTTGTCAACCATAAGTGCGTGTGCCATTGAGTTATCATTAGAATTTACATATTTCTGTACGACACGTGAGATATATCGCATTAGTTGATGTCGAAATAGATGCATGTCGTTATGCATTCCAGACTTCCGCAATTTGAGTAGTTTATTTATGTTTATTAGAGTATCTGTATGAATATAAGATGCGTGGTGACGGTGGAGTGGAATTATTTGTGATGACCCCTACTAACCGATGTCGTAAGAGACAACTAAGGGACTCCTACAGATTTCACAAAGCAGCCGCGCTCTTTAATAAAGCTGAACATTTTTTAAACTGAGAAGGTCCACCAAGCGTGTCGAACTGTTGATAATGGAGAAATCGTTATACACATAAAGGAGTTGCAAACTAGTAGTGGTCTGCTACGGGCTGTTGATGCAGATGATGATATTAGAGTATCTACTAACCTTACATACATAAGAAGTACAAGAATATTGCCAAAAGCTCCGGTGCCCGCCAAGAATATATATGTGATGCCAAATGTGTACTGTATACGTGTATCAGGGGGAGGGTACTGCAGCCAGTGACTGTTGATCTGCTTCAGGTAGTCTTCGGTAAACAAACCGAACGCGTGCCATCTCTGCACGGGCCATATCTTCACGAACTTTTTTAACAAATCTGCTTTATTATCAGACACACTTGATGCCGTAGTTTTAACAATATCTACACTACTATGATAAGAAGTCAAATCATTCATCCCAAAATCCGCGAACTTTAATTTCATGTGATCGTTTTTAAATTCATTTTTAAAGATATCAGAACTTCTTCGCCGCCTTTTCCACTGTTTTAAATCATCCAAACAACGCCACAGGAAGTCATTATGACACTTGAATGGCTTCAATGTAACTATTTTCGCGATTTTACAATATATGCACTTATTTTTAACACTTTGCAACTGAACCGTGTAAGTTTTGTCCACTCGTGTTGTGTCGACATTCATACAATACACTATATTCGAAGCCGCGACCAGAGCTATAATTAATATATTCAACATACTATTTACGTTTACCCGAAGAAGTCGCCGTGTGTCTATGAATTAATAGGACACAACCGTTCCCGATGGTTTCCGAGACAAAATGTAGCCGGTGCGTCGCCGACGAGCGAAATGTGTCCCGCTATGGATGCGGTATTATTCCTCTCAGCTGACAATTTACTGAACAATCTTAAAGAGGAATTATTTTGAGAACAGAATATTTTTAATATAGAAAACGTCACCAGTTGAGTATATTTAGTCGTTCGACACAGTAAAAGAAACAGTTTTATGATACTTGGATTGGGTGCCGGCTTTATTTATTACTTCGTGTTGAACGCCGAGTTTTAGAGTTAACGAGTGGTGACTAGCAGACTTCGTAGTTTTATCGGACCATAAATGTTTTAATAGGAGCTCAGTGTTACGTGAACTTTATTGTACTACAAGTAGGTAGTACTAGTAGGAATGACAAATTAAACTTGGTTTTCCAATATGGATTATGATGGATAAATAACCATTAGTTGTGAAAACTTATGTACTAATTTTACTAGAGGTATATATTTTTTTAAACTGTCAAACACCAAGCGGTCACCGGTGACCGCAACCTATTGTTCTATAATTGTGTCTACAAAACCGGTACTCGACGAGTTAAAAATATGTCGGTTTACGGTTGGTAACTTAATTGTGTTTTATTAATAAATGTAACATTTTATTTGTAAGGAGGAACTGCTGATGAAGTGAGAAAATATAGCGTTAACCGGATTAAAATATTAGGCTATTTACCTTCGCGTCAAAAATGTTTCATCTTCCCTAAGGAAAGGTAGAGACGATTTGTCATATTGTCAATAGACATTGTCAAGGAATCATATGAATCATATTCCAGGTAAGAATAAAGTAACAAACAGTATAATCTTTTCACAGACACGTTACCATCCCTCGTAACAAGGGACGAGCTCATTACCATACATCGGGCACGTATGCAGACTGCTCGAAACTACTGACAATTCCGAAACCGAAAAATCCAATAACAGTTTGCCCCATCCTGTAATTGGACTCATTCATGACCTCGTATTCGCAGTCGCGTTCATTCTAGTACGATTATTGCTACCAGTAAAATAAATGTAGATATTAGATAATAATCTTTAGCTTACCTGAGATACATAAGTAAAACGATGATATTGCCCCAGCAGCCAATTGTAGAAAACATAACATAGAACCAGCCTAAAAACTTTTGTAACGATTCACTAGGAGGTGGAAATTGTAGCCAGTGTTCGTTGATCAAATCCAGATAGTCGTCAGAGAAAAATCCGTACTGTGTCCATAAAGATACGGGCCAATTTTCCTTGAAATTTGCAAGTAATTTCGCGTGCTTGTTCACAGTCGAAGTGTTGGCTGAATCGGTAAGGTTTCTCTGTTCGGGTTCAGGCTCGCTCGCTATTCTATATGCAGTTTCGACGTCCGATTGGTTTGTGGAACGTTTTTTTCTATCTAATTGCATTTGTTGAACTTTTGTTTGGATTTCATAATTCCATAACTCCCGAACTTTCTCTATGTAACTTTTTTCAATTTCGTTTTCGATTTGAATTAGATCGGGGTATTGGTTCGTTAGTTCACTGTAGCATATTATAACAATGGAAATAAAAGCCACTAATAAACTTAGTTTCATTGTAGCGGGTTAGTTCGCGACGTGTCGCTCGTATGGAACCTTGCGATGTTTTACAAGGAGCAATCAGGTGTATTTGCGTCGTAGTCGACGGCCTGAAGTCACTGGATGCTTAGCCGCTACTCCCGAGGGACCGATGTAAATTTATGCTTAAGTGGATTAAAGTGGCTAGCTTTTAGTAAAATCTGTATAGAATTGCCGGTTAATAAAGACGTTATTACGTTGATCGACGGGCCACTTGATTCGCTGTCGTTGAGCAATTTATTCGGAACGAATACGTTATATTAAATACGATAGAATAGTTTTGGTTCTGTCGAGAAAAACGAATCTTAGAAATATTTAATATGTATATTATGTATAAGTTGTTTACTATGTTTTCCTAGAATACCTCGTAATCGAGTGAGGTACATTAGAAATTATATCGTTGTAATATTTCTTTTCATATTACTACATTACAAACCCCGTGGTTTACGCTCAATATGAAAATATAGATTTGATTTATTTATGTTAAAGTACGAAATGAAATGAAATAAATTGCTTCACAGTTTTTCTCTGTCAACGATTTTCAGGCGATATTTTATTAATCCCCGTTTAATAGGAGGCGGTTTCATTGCTACGGAATACAAAACCAGATTCAGTACTTACTTAAAACCAATAAATTATTTATAAATTCAATTTATAATAATTGCCTGTCGGTTAGTCAAGTGGCCGCAAATACGACTGCCGAACAAGGAGTTTTGATGTCAGACAAAGTATGTATAATTATAGAATAGAATTGTGCTTAGTGTATGGCAACAAACTCACACTTTTTCATATGTGAGGTAAGTGTAGGAGAGCCATGCTTCGGCACGAATGGGCTGGCTCGACGGGAGTGATCCCACGGCCTCACAGAAAACCGACGTGATACAACGCTTGTGTTGTGTTTCGTCGTGTGAGTGAGATTACCGGAGGCCCTATTACCCGCCCAATCTCCCCAATCCCCAAATCCCCAATAATCCTCAAATTCCTAATCCTCAAAAGGTCGGTAATGCACTCGTAACACATCTGGTATTTCGGGTGTCCATGGGCGGCGCCGATTGCTTGCCATCAGGTGATCCGTAGGCTCGTATACGGGCTTATTTAAAAAAAAAGAGATTTTTACATAATTGGTGATAACTGGATTACATTGTATATATTGTGTGTTCTGGTTTCTTTCGTCTTCGACTTAAAGGTATCTTGTTATGAATGTATGTATCTAGAATTGCTTTATTATTTGGAAGTACATATTTAGACTGTTAGGTTCGAACTCTTTGTTTACAGCTCGCTCATATTTTTGTAGTATATACAAAGATATTCCTATCTTCACAAACAAATAAGTCCAAGAGACTTACACAACATATTGTTGTAGGCGGAGTATATTTTTATACTGTAGCAACAGAAAGACGTGCCTAAGTACTATCTTCAGAGATACATACATGTAGGTACTAATATACAGTTAATTACCAGTAATATTTGTCACATCCCTGACCCGAGTTCCTCAATGTTTACAATAGCCTTTGACCCACTTCGTGATGAATTCAGCTTCAATCTCTGTTTACCCAGCTTGGTAAGCCAGGGTGAAATTAATTCCGCCGGCTATTTTTCAACCGCTTCTTTTTAGTAATTTTCGCTTATGGATTTTTCGCTTCTTTTACGGTGTTTGTTACAAAATGATTGAGCTGCATAACATCGCACTGAGTACCTATTTCACCAAAGATAATATTAGATGAAGGCAATATGTTGTTAATTACCCAGAATAAGAGGAAAGTCGCGCTTAGTCAGCCGCTAAACCACGGGTTTCGGGTTCAAATTCCGGGACGGGAAACTGTTATTGAGTATTTCCAGTCGTTTAAGTAATTTTAATTGTTTTGATTTTAATTATAAGTTTTTTATTATAACTGAATTTTTTATTGCACCTCTATTTAAAAATTTAAGCTAACCAAATTTCTCCACTAATAACCTACTGCATATCGAAAAAATGAACCGAACACAAATTGTTGAATACTAAGTTAGGTTAGGTTTTGTTTTTTTCACGACCTTAAGATTATGGGTTAGGTTAGGTTAAGATTTTGTTGCATTCTAAGAATTATTAGATTTACTTTTAGTTAAAAGACATTTATTTAGTAAAACAGTTAAGCTTTAAAGATCTAACAGTAACAGTCTGCACTGTTGGTGCGGTGGCTGGGCAACTGGCTGCCATGCAACGTGTCGCGGGTTCGATTCCCGCACGGAACAACACTTTGTGCGATCCATAAATTGTTGTTTCGGGTCTGGGTGTCATGTGTATGTGAACTTGTATGTTTGTAAACGCACCCACGACACAGGAGATAATCCTAGTGTGGGGCAACGTTTAAAAAAAAAAACAGTATAGTATCATTGATTTATTTGATGAGCAAATTTAGTGTGCAATTCAGTATTTTTGGTGGTAATTCCGAACATTTTGATTGAAAAAGGGAATTTACAGTTAAAGTATTAAATGCCACCCAATTTTAAGTAATAAGACGCGTCCTCCACAATTGCGGGTTAACTAGATTTAGTGAGGTAGAACATTAAAGTTAGTAAATATTTCAAAAATTCCGGGCAGTATTTTTGAGATTACCTCATACATAGATAGAAATAAACTCACTCAACATGTGTAGGGAATTCTATTTTCCTGTTTACTCTTTTATCAAGGGATAAACAACTCGACGGTAAACAGAGCCATATTTTTATATATAAATCAGAAAACAAACGAATAAAATCAACATCGACTGCCTTACTGGTCACGTTATCGTAAGCGCAACTGCTGAGCATGAGGCTTCTTGTTCGAATTCCGAGCTAGATAAGTACTACCATATTTTCATGTTATCAGATTCTCAGTAATAACACGGAGTCTGGAATTGTAACTGGTGTATGACAACAGGCATATATTTTAAGGGACTCATAATATAACTAGCAAAAAATGGGTTAAAATTATATTTTTCATCATACTCACGTAATTATTTGATGAGCAACTCAACTAATTCAAGCCATGCTAGAGGCTCATATTCAGTCAGTATTCCGTGACCCAAGACGCGGCAACTGTCGAGTTGCTAATCAACTAGTCGAGTTCCCCGTCAAATAATTACGTGATTATTACGAAAATCATAATAATTAATTTAGTATGTCTTTTTTTTATGGCATAAGCCGGTAAACTAGCAGACGGATCACCTGATGGTAAGCAATCGGCGTCGCCAATGGACACCTGGAACACCAGAGGCGTTACAAGTGCGTTACCGGCCTTTTGGGGATTAGGAGTTTGAGAATCATAAGGAATTCAGGGATTGGGGAGATTGGGGAAGGGGAGGGTAATTGGGCCTCCGGTAACCTCACCCACACAACGAAACACAACGCAAGCGTTGCTTCACGTCGGTTTTCTGTGAG